AGAGAGACTAGTGAGACTAGTTAGACTAGAGAGACTAGTGAGACTAGAGAGACTAGAGGGACTAGTTAGACTAGTGAGACTAGTTAGACTAGTCTCACTAGTCTCTCTAGTCTAACTAGTCTCTCTAGTCTAACTAGTCTCTCTAGTTAGACTAGAGAGACTAGTGAGACTAGTTAGAGCTAGTCTTATCTTACATCCTCGTTGTGTATCTCAGTTCTCCAGGTTCTGCTGATGATCTATTTATTCTAGTCAGGTGTGGTGCAGCAGAGGAACATCTGAAAGTTGCCTTTGAGGACTGGACTTTGACTCCTGTGCTTTAAACAAACAGTTTGATGTTGACTTTCAGAATGCATTCATCACCAATTTTAAATTTTACAACCATGTTTTGACCCAGCGGATCCAGTTTGAACATATTTCCTGTTGGGAACCTCTGCATTAATCATTAATTTTATGTAATTATTGCATCAGACACAAAATGGATTTAGATTGAGATTAAATTTCTGAGGGAATCAGATCGCACTGGATTTTCTATGTGAATAACGGGAGATGGGATGTTGATCAATCACATCGTTAGAAACAAAATCATCTTTGAATAAAACAGCAAGAAGAGACCAATTGTCAAGTTTCAAATCTTTTACTGCAGAGAGCACAAGTTGTGGGTCAAAACAGTTTTAACAACAGAAAAATCCAGGAAGTATTCAGTTTACTTGTTTCTGTTCCAGCCGGATGTAAAATTGTATTAATCTCTATCCTCACAATTCAAATACTTCATTACAACAATTTGGAAACATGGTTTTGAAATTCTTGCAAATTTGTTAAAAATTCATTTAATGTGTATTGTGATAGGTAGTAATAAACCGACTACAAAGCTGATAACTGCAACAATCAGAGCCTATTATGACGTCTTCCACACATTCATGAAAAGGGTTTTAAATAATTCCCAGAAACTTTAAAGAAAAATGCTTCACGTTAATTTTTGACTTAATTTCCTTGAATTACCTTAACTCTGTCAAATATTTACTTAAAGCTTTTTAAGCAACAGGTAAGGAGACAAAAAGTCTCTCCATAACGCAACGTGACCTAAAATATGAAAACATGCAGCAAAGGATCATTTCCATGCATTTATTTTTATGATGCAGTGGTGAAAATTTGTAATTACAACAAAAAAAAAATCTCATGCAGTACATGATTGAATATTTGCTGATATCAGAATACAAAAGGAACAAAAAAAATGTAATGATCAAGAAAATCAAAGTAAAATGATTTGGTATTTAATACAAAAGTGCAGGAGACAATAGAAAAAGCATAAATTGCATTTTAAAAAATCCCACAAACTGCTTATAAGTGATTCATGTAGATATTAACCCTGTGAGTGGGATGAAATGCAGGATTAATCTTTACAGGAAGTGAAAGACGTTTAGACTGCAGGGTTGGTGGTGATTTCCTCCAGCAGAGGCTTGAAATGCTCCGGCTCCTCAGAGGTCTGCAGGAGGAAGGAAACACGCTGAGTGAAAAAATGAAGTGAAACATTAAAGAACAGGTGACTCACTGGTTTTGAGAAATCACTGCTTAGAGAAGAAAATGTCTGTAATTCGGCCTTTTGGGAAACTTCTCAAGAGAAGCTGTTTCATGTCTGAAAGGTTTGAGATTTTACACAGAAAGTTAATCTGATTCCTTTAGATCATAAAGTAAATAAGACCTGGATTAAAAGTCTGAACAGGAAACAACGAGGTTATAATAGTGGAGCTGGAGTCATGCCCAACACTCACAGTTTGGTGTATTTTATTCAAAAGAAAACTAGATTTATGTTTTTATTTTCTGTATTCACAGTGAACAACGAAAGCTGCAATATTAGGACAATATCGTTTCAATCAATATGTTTTAATATATGCCAATAATGAACCAGCAGGAAATTTGGTTTGATTTGTCAGTAAATGATAAGCAGGTATTAAATGCATGGGAACCTCAGGCAGAATAAATGTGAAGATGTTTGGTGATGAATAAACCTCAGTCCAATGTGCTACTTGTGCTACAAAGACCCGTCTGATTGGTCTCCAGTCCCGCCCTCTGTTCCCCTCAATGTGTGCCATGGCAGCCGCTTAGGTCATGTTTCAACATGAGTTGCTATAAAACCTCCTGAAACGAGTCAAGCCTGTAGGACGGGTCCATTGTGTTGTTTTATGGATGACTAGACATATAAAATGACCCAAGGGGAGAATAACGTTCGTCTATGTTGGTAAAGTAAACCTTTGTCTTTTGTTTGTTCTGTTTTATTTTTATTCCCCAACTGGGGAATAAAAACAAACATTAGCAAACATAAGTATTCATCTACAAAATGACTAATTAGATAAGAGAACAGTCAACAATGGAAACACAATAAAACAGGAACATTAAAATGGAGTTGTGTCACAACAACAAAGAAGTATAACAATACTTATTTTTCTTTAACTCTTGACAATTATTTTCTGTTTTGTTATAATTTTTCGCTTTCTCTCACATGTAATAATCTGAGGTAACAGACATTTTGGGTTGAAGTGGGGAGGAGAGGGAACGAAAAAAGCCACAACAATTCCTTGATAAATGAAATGTCAGACCAGTAAGGATTCATCTGATTGGATCCGTGACCCGGGCGTTCGTAAAGGCAGCATGCGTGGGATTTTTCCAATCCATGTTAAGAACTGAAGAAACCTTTCGGTTGAATGGCGGGAAAAATCCTGTGGTTTCTACCTCGGATGGTCAGAATCTAAACCATCGTTTATGACATGGTGAGTTATCCTGCAGGAAGTAGCCGTCGCTGTGGTCATAAAGGGATGGGCCTGGTCAGCAACGATACTCAGGAAGGCTGTGGCGTTCACACGATGCTCTGTTGGTTCTAATGGGCCCAAAGTGTTTCCAGGAAAATATCTCCCCACCGTTACACCATCACCATCATGTTTCCTCTTTTTCTGACCATTCTCTGTAAACTACTGAGATTAGCTAATTCGACATTTGCGTTAATGAGCAGCTGGACAGGAGTATCTAATAAAGTGACCAGTGAGAGAATATCCACCATTACAGAATCATCTTCTGAATTGATTGGTCATTTAAATTTGTAAAACTAAGTTAAACATTTAAGCCAGAGGCTTATTCTATCCAAAAACTGATTTAGCACGACTCTTCGAAACAAAACAGCTCACCTGTTTTTGTTTGTTGCTCAGAGCTATGATGCCCAGCACGGCGGAGCTGATGGCGACGCAGAGCTCCACCACCGACAGGACAATCAGGACCCCAGTAATGCTCCGCAGAAGCATCTGCAGAACACAAACAGCTCCATAAACCATTTGTTTAATAGATGTAGACTATCCTCCTTAAATCATTTACTTTGTTTATAAAATGATGCTGTTACATCTGTGTTGCTGTTAAAGAAACTAAGAAAACAAAAACAACTCAAAGAGGTGATTTGAAGCAAGACGTTGAAATCATTTTTCAATATGTGGCCACACAAGCAAATTATAGTTGGTTTCAATGTGCAATTCATAGTTCTCATGTGATGTCACACTTCTGGGAACGTTGTAGCCGGCAGCCATCTTGGTAGGTATCCGTCGCAAGAGTTGCTGTGACAACAATAAACAAGCCACAAGCTTGAACCTTGTAGATTATTACTATCTAATTTTTAAACAATGTAAGTTCATTAACAATTTTTGTGTACTCCACTGTCTTTTTGTTGGTCTGGAAGCCATGGCTCATGTACGCTTTGCACTGCGCTTGCCTACCAAGATGGCGGCTCAGTGGCTCAGATCACTTCTGGTTCAGACTTGTAGGAACTACGTATAATTAGATCTGTAGACGTCACTAAATCACACATGTTTAAAGTTCCAATTGGCTGCCTAATAGCAGATATCTTTTTCTTCACTAAGCCTACATTTACACGCTGCCTCCAAAGTTTCTGGTGATAATTGGGGAAAAGTTCCACGTTTAGACGCCGCCACCAAAACGCCACGAGTCAGCTGAAGTTGTCATGCCAAGCCAAAAGGTGGCGCTGTTATTTCAGCATGTCATTGAATGCGCCTGCAGTTTTGACCCTTTGCTTCCTCTTCATTGTAGTTTCCCGTCTCCAAAGTGCTGGATTGCAACAGAAATGTTATGATTAAACTGCAGAGCAGGCCTAACATAAATAACCCAACAGTCATAAACCTGGTCAGCTTAAGAACAAACGTCCATCTTCAAAGATGGAATCATCTCTAAAGCTCATCATAATCAAGACAAATATAGATATTTCTGTCTTACCTGGATCATTGCTTTGCTCTCCAAGCATTTCTCCTTAACGTAAGCGGAGGGTGGACTTGGCCTGGGGTAAGAGTAGTAGTCGTAGTTGGGCCCGTCTTCACAGGAAAACCATACATATATATCACCCTCAAATATACTGTAGAGCACAATGGCAGCCATGGCAAGAGCACCACCAACCAGGTTGACAGTCACATTGAGGACGACCTGAAATAGAAGAATAACTTCATCTACTAACATGACCATTAATTTGATCAAAGTTGGAAAAGATCTAAGGATAAATGCTGATGATCCTGAGGAAACACCAGATAGTTAAAATCACTCACCAGACATGGACTTGGATACTTCTCAGTTAAAATGCACATGATACCAAACACAATGAACTGGAAAAAAGAAAAAAACAAACAAATATTCTGTGTAAAAGTGAATAAATGGCTGAGGGTCACTTGGCTCCATGTAACCATTGGTTTCTCTGTGTCCCTCCCTGCCATGCACACAACCAGTGGAGTTCACTGCTTACTAAAAAATGAGTTCTGATAACACCAAGGCACCAGCATGGTGTTTAGCAGAAGCTAAAATGCTAACTTCAATTCAAATTACATCTACCCTTAAAAGCAGTTTGTTCACCAATTTAATTTTGAGTTTATAATTTACACGTTCAATAATGCGTTGGAGAGTTGGAGCTTCTTAAAGAGACAGAGGCCCATTTCAAAGTGACAAACTGCAAAGTCAAATTTATTTTGAGTTATGTTTGCTAAATACAGCATTATTATCATAACAGCTGATGGTAACATAGTTACCTGATTATGCCGTAAAATGGAACTATGTGACTGTAAAATACATAATACTGTGAGGCTCCGACTTTAAGGCTCCGACGATTAACAATTAATGCTGATAATCAGCAGTTTGCTCACCAGAGATCCCATCCAGTAGGGAAAGTAGCTGTTCCAGTAAAAGTAAGGAGAAATGTAAGACAGGTGGATGATGGCGCCAAGGCCAATGTTAAGCAGCCCGATCATCATGTGGACGGCCTGCAAGGGAAAACAAGAAGCAGACACCTGTGGTCAAACCTGGCATCATCATTATTATTTTTTACAATCAACTTAATGAGCTTCGATAAAGACGCAGCAAACAGCAAAAACTCATAGAAAACATGTCTAATTAGAGCAAGAGCAGTTTAAATTTTTATTAAAATGAAGAGAGAAGTCTGCAGCTCACCGCGAGGACGGACAGAGACGTCTTCAGGACCGCCCCCAGCGGCCGGGACACGGAGCAGCACACCGGGCTGTAGCAAAGAGTCTTCAGGATCTGGCACAGTGGAGGCCAGCGACTGTCAGGGTCAGAGGTCAGCGTGAACACGGTGACCCCGTCGGTCCTGCTCATGGTCACAGACATCTTCCTGGTCCTGGAAGCTGACAGACATTTAAATGTGTTATTGGTCATTTTAACAAGTTAAATAAAATAAGATGCATTAAAAGTATTTGTAGCTTTTGGATTTTCTTGCCGGTGTGATTCTGCTGTTAATTCTGATTTTATTTGTAGTTTTTTTTTTTTTTTTTTAGGGCAGAAGGACACGATCAGCTGAAAAATAAAAACAAAACCTGGTTCTAAAAATACTTTAATATAATTCAAAGTCAATACTCTGGGTCTGAACTGCTGGTGTTTCAATCTGTCTCCGAAATAAAACCCCAAACTGATTCTGAGAAAAAGCAAATTCAGGCCTGGACTTTGACTGGGCCATCCTAAAGGACCAGGCTATGTGGAAAGAAAATCGGAAAAAAATAGTTTCTGTCTGACAAGTAAAACAATAAATAAATAAATTACTCAAAATAGCGGTTGCCTGTTATATGTTCTTTAACATCAGTTTTAAAGTAAATAAACCGAAGTGTCCAAATTAAAAAGCTTTCTTTTAGCAGTCGATCAGATCCGGATTTAAGTTTCGTCCTAACAACTAAAGCTGCAGCCAGACCCGGTCCACTGCGGCAGAACTTTGGTTCTGGTTCTTCCTGTTATTTCCACTGCAACTTCAGGCATTTCAGTAAAACAACCTACCTGTTAGAGTCCGAAGCAAAGTGAGAAACAAAACCTGAGATTCAGTTAATGTCACTGTCTTCCGGGATACCGGGATAGATCAATCTGTCCCGGAAGCGGAAAAAAAAATTGTAAATATTAAAATCATTTGCGCATGAGCTGATTTATGTTTGTTTCTTTTGTATTCCATTGTAAATGTAAAAATAGTTTATGATTTGAGGAGAGTAACAGAGTCACGGATAGATAGACTCTTTCTTCAGAGCTTCATTATTATGAATTTACAGAAATAAACAGAAACCAGGAAAAGTTTTAATCAAGTGTATCAAATGTTTCTTTGTTGTTTACAAAGAAGTGATCAGAATAAAATAACTAAACTCAGTTTAGTGTATGTGGTATTTCTTGAGGAGTAATATTAGATTATAATATACATTTATGTTGTTGGTTTTTTTTTAGTTTTTGGCGTCATAAACTCCAGGTGTTCATTGTTCCAACGTGAACAGAACACTTCTTCCCACAAGGTGGCGGTAGTGGGACGGAACCAGAACAGAAGGATCACAGTTTCAGACTCAACGGATCAGAAATGTTCAGTGATGCAGGAAATCCTTAAAAATGTTTCAATATCTCTGATATAAACATATGAAAACAAATAATCTGGAATGTGTTTGATTCAGGAACATCTTGGTAGTTTTAAGGGGAGTGAAAGAAAACATTATGGTCACCAGTATTTGGGTTTTCTTTATGAACAGAATAACTTAGAAAGTGTAGAGAAACTGATAAAAGTCAAGTTGTAAAGGGGTTTAAATAGAAAAAGATACTTTCGCCGTTAGTAATCTACAGGCTGAGAAAATGAGTTGTTTAGGCGGCAAATTGATAACAATTTAATTCAGATACAAAATATATTGTCATATTTCTATTTTATTTCCTGTTATTTTCTTAGTTCTTCAAGCGGGAGCCGCCAGGGGGCGCTGTAGGGGCATCAGAAGGTTGGAGGGACGATGACATTTTTTAATCTTACATTTTTCATCATAAGATTTGTTTCTGTCGTTAAGTCAATATTTTTTAAGTTAAAATAATTTATTTAAAAGTTATTTCTGATGCTGTTTTTCAGCTGCAATCCATATTTTCTGAGTAGCAGTCCTGACCAAACATAATTATTTTAATTTACTACAATATTGTTTCCTTTTTCTGTCAAAGTCTTGGGTTAGTTTTGGGTTTGGTTATTGTTTCTGTGTTGCTTGGTTTCTATTCTTTGATTTGGTTCAGCCATGTTTACTCTAGTAGCTTATTTTTATTTCTTATGTTTAGTTATTCTTTGATGTTGGATTTATTTTCCAGTCCCAGTGTAGAGCAGTTTTATTTCTGTTTTATCTTAGTTCAGCCCTTTAGTTGTATTATGTTCCTTATGTTTGGTTATTTGTTCATGTTGGAATCAGTTCTATGCGTGCTCTCGATCGCCCCCTGTGCCACTTTCTCTCTCTCTCTCCTCACACCTGCAACCTGTTTCTAATCAGCCATCTGTTCAGTAATCAGCCTTCTCAGTATTTATGCAACTCATTCTCAGTCACTCTGTTAAATCTGGGTTTCCCTTGAGTTTGTTGTCCTGACTGGTTGTCAGTGTTTTGTTCTTGATTTTTCTCCAGTAAATATTTCTACATCAACTCTTGTCTCAGCCTCTCTTCACACAGGTCAAATTTAACGTCACTTTGACATGACAGCGTCAGGTGAATGAGGTTTATGTGTAATCCTGCTGCAGGTTTTGCACTATTATTGTATTGATCAAAACATAACAAGCTTCTGTTTGTGATATCTGGTGAAAAAATCTGTTTAAAGGACTTGATCTTGAGAGAAATGTTGTATTTTCTAAGGATGAACTATTAAAAATAAAGAGCTGTAGGTGAAATTAAAGGCATTTGATGCTTTTGAAAGAAAAAATCTCTTTCATTTTGCAGGAGAAACTAAAGAGACATATTTTGGAGTTATGACCCAGAACTAAGCCCAATAACTCAGTTTTTTCTGTATTATTGAATTACAGCGGTTGCATATTTGGATTTGATACGATATCAGTGTTTACCTTCCTGACTTTAAGACATTCCTGCATCGACTCATTCTCCCGTGTAAATACCAAACTCCTCCACATTCAGAGCAGATCTGCTGCAGGCTTTCAGGTTCAGTCAGTTTATTATCCAGTTTCTACCAACACCAACCCAAATGACTGAGGAAAGAACTGAAATTTTACATTTTATTTATTCCCCACAACATATAAACATGCAAGTAATACAATTACAGAGGATTCTGTCTGCCATGTGTGGCAATATGCTTTTAATTTGAAGGATTAACAGGAAGTTAACATTTTGTTTGTACTACGTGAGCCAGAAAACTGTTGGAGTACTAGCACTGAACTTCTCAGCAGGTGAGTTCACATCATTAAAAATGGCTTTTCTGAAAATGTCAGTTTTTATTATGAAGTGAAATATTAAAGTTCAACTTGTTGATACCCCTTTTCAGACAAAGTCACCAAATAAGTGTTTTTGTGCCTGTATGTTGCATTTTACATCTTATTTTTCTTTTCTTTTGTTCGAACGTCTGGAATAATCAGTTCAATTCAAAAATTCAAATCCAAAAATACTTTATTGATCCCAAAGTGAAACTAATTGTTGTAAGTTGAATGATTTTCTTTAGAGTGGTTGAAGGACCTTCTGTAGCAGCCTGTATTCCAGTGGCTCTGAAGATGCCTCTGACTGAAGACAGTTTGCAGTTGTATGCCACTCTGATGCTCTTCACTCATAATTTCTTAGGTTTTATGTAAAATCCTTCTTTGCACCAACATCTCCAGTACTAACAGTTTATATTCGATGCATCGTTTCTCTGGGGAATATTTTGAATATCCACCTCTTTTAATATCTATGTCTTCTTTGCTTAAAGGTTATAAAGATGTCCGTCACAGTGGATACAGATGATGGAGTGACTGATGTTATCATAGTAATGGACAATCAGAGCATGTTGGCACGATGGCGTCAGATCATCAAGGCTCCTTCCTGCGGTCCATCATGGCGGTCAGGGAGCAAAGGGAGCAGCGTGGTCGTTGCTCTCGGGGTGAGAGGAACGCAGAGCATTTAAAGGATGAGTTTCTGAATCGTAACACCTTAAAGAAAAAGGTTTCAAATGTTTCACAGACTGTTCAGGTCATGGTCGGCGTGTTCAACGTTGGACTCGGACCAGAACGTGCAGAAACGTTTCCTTACTGGCTGGCAGTTCCTGTAAGTGGATTCACATCCCTCTAAAGTTCATCCATATCTGTGTGGAATATTTTTATATCTGAAGATTTCTTCACATCCATCATATTTGAATATGAAAAACATGAGGAAAGCTTCCATTTTTTATGGATAATATGATTTTCCTCCTCATACTGAAGTATTTTAACAGACATTTCCACTTCTGTGTTAAGTAGAAGCATAAAAGTTTCAAATAGAAGTTACCTTATTGAGTGCATGGGATATTGTCTGAATTGCAAGATACAGTTTTAGTGCAAACTAGTGAAAGTGCACCGGGTATATTTTGACCAAATGTGTTTCACAATGAATGTGTAAAACTGTCCTTACATTAAAGTGACTTTGCTTTATGCTGTAAGTTAATAAAACCAGTAATAATAATAATTGATCTTATTACTGTTTGTCTTCCAGTTCATTGCAGCCGGAGTCTTGTCTCTTCTTGCAGACATGTTTCCTTTCCGCTGCCTGGTGAGTGAAGAACAGTACTGCTTTCCAACTGCAGAGGTCGCAGTTGGGAGTAATAATCAGAGTTCTGCTTTCAGATGGGCTTTTCCACCTTTCTCAACGTCGCTGGATCCATCCTCTCCATTGTGGCCATTGTGCTGTATGCAGTACATTTGGCCAACTTCACTGTCATTGGGATGTGTGGGATCCTGGATGAAAGGAAGTCCAAAAACTGCCTGTTCTTGGCTAATTTAGCTCAGGTACTCAACACATCGGCCTCTTCTACCTTTAAATGCACTGATTTAACTGGTGCATGGAGCTGAGGATGTTGGTGTTTCCTCTAGATAAATGAATTACACAAAAAACACCAGGAAAATAGAACTATAGATCCCAGAGAGGAAAAGACAAGGTCAGGCAAGAATAACCGTAATAACCACAATCAGGCACATTTTCTTTCACTGGTCAATAACTGTGTTTCCATTGACCACATAATAGCGCAATTTGAACATATATCTATTTAATGGGAATGCCAGTTTAGAAAAAAAAATTAAATAAATACCGAATACTGAAACGGAACAATATATTTCTGGTTGTTTTTCTTTCGGAAGGTATTTCTTTTCATTCCGTTTTTCTTTGTCTGGTGTTTCAGAAACTGCTGAGAGGCGTGGACATCACCATGATCGTCATGTCCGTCCTCCAGCTCTGTGTCTGCATCAGCCTGGCAGTCCTGGGCAACAAGGATTTCCACTACAGGTGGAAACAAAACTCACAAATCCATTACAACAGGAACTGATGCTTAAAGTTATTAAACTCTTCAATAAGTTCACTCTGTAGGAAAATTTGCTCTGATTACTAAAATTTACTCTTGTGTTTCTGCAGGATGTCAAAGATGACGCTGTTGTTTAAAGATGGTCACATGACCAGTCCTGGAGCCTAAAGCTAATAAATCTGGTGAAACCAGGGAGAAACCAAAGGGGGGTCAGGGGGGTCATTTTTAAAATGTCATTTTTAAGTGTAATTTTCAAAATTAAAATGTTTTTTTAAAATATTTGTAACAGAAAAAGTGAATTAAAAACTTTGAATGTCTTATTATCCACAGATGCATGTAGAAATGCAGGTCATCCTTTAAATTTTCTTTTCTATTTTCTAGATTTGTTAAATTGTGAATTGCTGATTAAAATATTAACATGTTTTCTTGCGCCTTTGTTCCTCCTTCTGTTCGTTGTGTTTATAAATTATTTTCAATTTTAATTCTTTAGATTATAGGATTATTCTCTACTCTTTTAAGAAGATGCTGTGGCACCAATAACCACTAGATGGCGGTAAATATCGCGGTTCATGCATCTCCTCTCGTGTGTTTTTATCATAATGCTCATCTTCTACTTGTTTTGACAAAAGTTTTTTTTTTCATAACTTATTTGTCCAGACTAAACACACAACTCAATATATTTTGTGAATGTTATGACTGGAAGGAAAAGGCAGAGAAAGATTCACTTTCACTTCATGTTTGATTTAAAACAAACAATTGACAAAAACTTCCATGTAAACATTTTTAAATTAATTTGTTTCTGCAGTTTTTTAAATAATAAATTCAAACTGACTTGCTATAAGTCATCACTTCTCTTTGTCGCTGTTTTAGCCTGCAGAAAATCAACACTGAACATAATAAACTGTAAATAATCAGTGCTGGTAAAATGTCGCTCTGACTCAAATTTCAGCAGGTGCTTCTGAACGTTCCTGTTTATTCACATTAAATCTCTGTTTCACAAAACATTTACAAGTTAAAGCTCAAGTTAAAGCATGACCTCAATGAGCACTGAGAAGTTTATATTTACCCTTATTTATTTTCAGTCTGTGATCTGGGGAATGGATTATAATCTGGATTATTGGGCTTCCCTATAGCAGTTGAAGGCAACTTATGTGGACTAGAGGAAGTTAATTAGATTCTTGGAGAAAAGTTGCTCTGACATTCTTACAATTTTAATTTGATGCTCCTTTTCAACATTTTAATTTTAAGTTATTTTGGCAAAAAAAAAAAAATAAAATAAATAATAATTTCTAGAAATCCTAGTTTGGATTACTCACCACTGAAAATTTAACATTTGGTTATAATTTGGTTATAATTTCCACAATTGAATAATATTTTATGTTTCTACAGTAAAAGATGTGACCTTTGACTGAACCGAAACCTGCAACCATCTAACAACTGGACCGCAGCATCCCTTCATTTTAAGATGTAAATGAGTTGATAAAATTTTAAATCACTGTATTTATTTAAAATGTATCATGAACATGTAAGTAGCTTAATGCTTCTTAGCCTCTTCTTTTATATGCAGTTTGTTTTTCAGCTGATGTCAGTTTATTCTTGTAAACTTAATATCTACAAATATTAACCTACAGACTCAACATTAGAAGAGTTTCTGTTTAAACCCATGAAAAAAATTCATACCTCGTGAAATATTTTGCCATTTTACAGCCACAGACTTCAAGGTTCTGTGATTTTAAGTTCTGTATAGTTGTGAAGTGGAAAGAAACTGATACCTGGTTTTCTGTTATTTGCACAAATGAAAATCTGAAAAGTGTGGCATGTATACATTTTCACGCCACACTCAATAGAGGCTCCTAGAGTTGAATGTTTTGGCCCATATGTGGGTAAAAACTAACTCTGCATGTTACACTAAACACATCGATTGGGTGTACATGGTGGTGTCAGTGTCATGCTGGGGGAATGTTTTTCTTCCTCACGGATGGGGAAGCTGGTCAGAGTTAATGGGAGATGAATGGAGGTCAACCAGCAAAAGAACAAACACTCAGAGATATTATGGGATGGTTTAGATCAAAGTGTAGGTTAGAATGGTCCAGTCAAAGTCCAGATGTAGCCAGAACTAAGCGTCTGTAGTGAAACTGAGACTGAGCTGCTTAAACGTTTAGTGAAAATAAACTTTGCTTTCATTCCTGACTCCACAATCGTTTGATATGTTTCTTTCATATAGTGTAAAACAGTTGAAGGGAAAATTCTTCTACAAGCGACTTTAATGATGGGTCTTGTGTGTTTTCAGGTTAGACCGGGATCAGTCGGTGTTGTTCTGAAGGCGACCTCAACAATGAGGCTCAGCAGAAGAGATTTTCCATGGACACAGTCGGCTTGTTGAGTCTTGCCCAGACTTTGGTATGTTGTGAGAAACAGCAGGAATAACAAACAGCTTCGTGTGAAAATATGAAGGCCGAGTTTGAAGTGTCAGAAGAAATGTTTCCTGACATTTTCAGTCGTATCTTACAGGCTTTGTGGTAATATGAGGTTGTATTATGGTATGAGGTTGCATAAGTACTCTTGGAAAAGCCAATTTACTCTTCTGTGATGGCAGCAGCAAAGTGAAAAAGTCCAGCAGAGGTTTTAGAGCAACATCTGCTCCCTTCAATCCGTCACTCCAGTTTATTTATGCAGCACATTTCAGACAGAAGGAAGCTCAAAGTGCTTTACATCATCAAAATATAAAAATACAAAGTCCTAAAAACACTGGAGACACCAGTGAAGAACATAATGGTGGAAGGACTGTAGAACTGGGTGATGCGCTCCATCCTCCTGGTTTTAGTCAGAACGCCAGCAGCAGCGTTCTGGATCAGCTGCAGCTGGAAGATGGATTTTTTTAGGCAGATTTGTAAAGACGCTGCTGCAATAATCAATATGACTGAATGAGTTTTTCTACATCTTGCTGAGACATTAATCCTCTCATCCTGGAGATGTTCTTCAGGTGACAGAAGGCCAACTTTTTAACTGTCTTTATGTGGCCCTGAAGGTGCAGTTCAGAGTCCATCACTACACCCGTCCATTTGGACGTTTCTGTCCAAATGCAGCATTGATCGTCACTCGTAGCTTTGTTTGCCACAGAGCACTAAAGTACTGAAGATATAGTTCATTTGTGAAATGCACAATGTGAAAGGAAACCAAACCAAATGGAAAAATGTCATTCATTTTTGGGCCGGACCAAACCAGCAGACGAAAGGACTTTGGTGGTGTGTGAAATGCTTCCCTCAGCACATTTAAAGTTCTCAGTCGCCAATGTTTGACTGTCTGAAAGTTACTGACAGTTACTGAATAAAACTTTCAGGATTTGTTCATCAACAGACCAACTGAGGTTTCTAATGACAGAAACTCCTCAAGCTTTTTTCAGATCCTTCAGGATGACAAGATAATCCCCCCTTTGCTCCTCCCACACACCGTCTGACGTGCAATCGCCTGATTTAACAAGAATCTAATTTTTAAAAGTCAGAATTAGTTGGTTCTGTTCAGATGACCGATGAGTGGAGGGTAACTCTGAGGCGACGGTCGGAGGTTTAGTGTCTTCCTGCAAGGCGTGCGAATCTTTCCGCTGCCGCGTGATGTTTGTCTGCGTTCCTGAGGTCACCTGATGGGCCGGTCTCAATGCAGGGCTGTTTGGCCAAATAATGTTCATGGAAAAGTAATTCAGTCCTGATTAAAACCATCACTTCGCCCATTCAGCTGCCACGGGTCAGGAACCTGGGCGTGGCCATGAGCGCCTTTAGCAGCACATTGATGCAGAATGAGGACCAGGCGTCCAAACGCTTCAATTTCTTTCTCTGGTTGGCAAAAGTGGAAGAACAAATGACTAGCGCTGTGCTCGCTCCCTCTAGTGGAATGTAAAAAAATGTTCTAATCTTATGAGTTTTAGCTACAGTATGTAACTTAAACTTCAGCCTTTTATTTTTACATATTTGTTAGGTTAGTGTTGTTATAGTTTAGCATAAGACAGATAATCTGCTAACTTCTCTGTCTTCTCCCAGTTCTCCCAGTACTAACTGCAGAAATACATCACCAGGAGGAGTGTCTTCAGGCTGTCAATCATGCTTCTGTACTTGACACTCAAACCTTCCTCCCTCCGCCTGTCTGCTACATCATCAGGCAGAGCTATCATGAATGCTATGGCTAGTTAGCATCGTCACCAATTACCAACACTTTTCTTGTTCTGGTGAATTGTTTCTCTGCCATCAACATATTTAGCAGCGAGTACATGTGATTGATTGACAGCGCTGAGACCCTCCTCCTGGCTCTGATTGGTTGTTCTTGACTTTGAGCGATGCATTTCTGTAGACAGCATTAAAAGCTCAGAAAGGAAGTGAAAATGATTGATCTTTTCACACATTATCTGTTTCATAGCAAACTGTCATTTTATCATATTTAATGAATATGATAAAATACATTTTATCATATTTAATGAATATGATAAAATGACAGATTTTCTTTAAATAAAAGTCACAAACTGTAGCCGATTCAGCCAACAATGCAGCTTTAACATCTAGGATAAGGGACGGGCATGTTTATTGTTGTTGTTTATTGTTCATAAACCATAAACAAGATGAAAATTAATGCTAAGTTTGCTTTATCAAGTTCACATTTCACAATAAAAAGTCTTTAGGTCTAAATGCTCTGACTGCCTTTTATTTGTGTTCATTATTGTTACCCATAAACCATAGAGTGGTTATGTCTTGTGTTCCATTTCTGAATTAATTTTCTTGGATTATCTGTCAATCTGTGTTTATTATTAATCGTCTCTGTTTGTAATAAATCACCTGCATCTCTCTGAAAACACTCGTCGGTGTTTAAGTCTCTGTTTCTGTTGTTCTCCACATTTCTCAGCCTCCTGAAACTGTCATAAATAAATTATTCTGTTTTACCAAAGCCGCTCTCTGAATTTCTGTTTGCAGCCACAAACATGACAGAAGCCAGCAGGTGTTTAAGTACTTTGCTTAAGGGTTCAATTTAAATCATCTTCACTTGCAGGACATTGGATTTTAATTAAATGAAGGGGAGTTTCATTGTTGCTTCCTCTGCAACACTTTAGCCAAGAGTTCCTCCAGTATTTATAGGTATCTCCGTTTTCAGGCTAATAAGCTTTTCATGCAGAAATGCTGAGGAGGCAGTGAAACTTGGCATCAGTCTTCAGTTTACTTAGTGAGAGCTGGATCTTCTTTCCCAGCATGCAACTGGCATGCAGGTATTCAGAAAACAATATATTACTACATATTCTTTATATTAAAGAAGAAATCCAAGCTATACCAATAGTAAATAAGAAATCTACTACCTTTGTTACAAAATTTGTTGTGTTGTGGATATAATGAAGTTTGTATCTGACACTATAGGTGACTCCAAGCTAGAAAAATAATATTTTAAAATTATTATTCAGTTTACACAGTATTATTTCAGTTTTTTTAAAAAAAATTTCTGTTGTACAAACATAAACAATTTACTTTCCATGTAAATTTTCAGGCCTAAATAATCCCAGATCATTTGCAGTTCCAGAAAAATCAAAATTAATTAATGATATCTTTCAAAAATAAAAAGTTATCTTTCAAAAATGAAAAGTTATCTTTTAAAAATTAAAAGATATTTTTTAAAAATTAAAAGATATGATTAAAAATTAAAAGATATCTTTTAAAAGTTAAAAGATATCTTTAAAAATTAAAAGATATCATTTGGATTTAGTTAACAATCTCCCACATCAATAAGTAGTTTGTCATTAAGACATTACAAGTAAAATAACACAGATTATTGTTCAAAAGTAAAACTTCATTGAAATGGGAACAATATACAACCAACAATGAAATACAGCCTAACTGAAAAACTTAGCTTTAGCTTAGCAGCTGCTAAAGTAGCACTATTTTAAGCTAGTGCAATTAGCCTACTAAAATAAAGCAGTAACTTGACTTTAAGCAACAACATTGTTTTATTGTAATGCCAGGAATATTATTATATTATAAAATAGGTACATTTTACAGGAATGTTGACATTTTCAGTTTAATCTCAGTCTAGTTGTGGTTTAGACACTAACAAACTTTGATCATATGGACATGTTTTATCCCTTGTTACACTTTTTGCAGTGAGTCTGGGCTTTTCAAAATTTGTGTTTTTGCTTTCAACATTTAAACTGACTTCTGAATTAGATCTCTCTACAGACAGGTTTACTCCGACTGCATTGAGACGCAGAACAGAATTCATTTTTAAAGCTCCGCAGAGACAATGAAAAAAGAAACGGTTCAGACCAACAACCCCTGACTCCCTGTTGTTGACCTGCTGCTGCTGTAAAATGCAAGACATGAGTGTCTGCAAGCCGAATATAGAAAAGCCACAACCGCATGATGATAGAGCACTGAGGGTGTTTCCAAACTAGAAAACCACAGAATCAGTTTCCTTTTTCTACCAGGTTGTGAGATTTATCCTCAGAAGAGCCGGGCGTTAAAACACTGCAGTGAAACTTAAGAGATGAACTTCTACTCCATAAATTACCACAAAATGTGTGTAATTCTAATGTAGAAATTATTTTTATCTAATTTTTATTTAAAAATAAGTTGGTTTTTTCCAGATGAGGAGCCAACATCTTTTACTGTAAACAAAATGGAGAAAAATTTAAAGCATAAATAAGTCTGATGCTAAACATCTGGGTTGTTAATAACCAGTTTATCTGTAAAACATGTTCATTATTAACTCTGTGCCTTTTAAAAAATCATGCTGCCTTCAATAATGAGAAGATTTGCTTTTTATGAAACATGATGAAGTTTTCTGGCAAAATTGATCCGTTTGTTGTTTACAGAAAATAGATTAAGAAACAATAATCAGTAAATGACAACAATATGCAAATCATGCATTTAATCAAGATGTATTTATTTTGTTGATTACAGGGAACAAATGCAACAGAAAGTGTAAAATAAAAAGATCACAAAATGTGTTATTGAGTATTTTTATATCAATTGAACAAGAAGAAACAAAACGGCGACAAAAGACCAGAAAACTATGAATAGTCAGAGCATTATACAGTCACATTCAATAAGTCTGAATATTTTTAAAAGTACATTAGATTCATTAATAAATTCCCAAAAAGTGAGACACATAGAACATACTGATATTTTTAAGCCTTTTGTTAATTATGATGATTTTCTGTTTACAGATGGTAAAAATAAAAAGATACAAAATAGGGCAATAGATGCAAAAAAAAACAAACATTTTGAAACAGAAATGTGGGTTTAATTAATAAAAAGTACGTTTGATCCTTTAAAGCCGTTTCTAATCGATTGAATATGATTGCACTGTCAGCAGGTAGTGTGAACATTAATGTCAGATTAGAAACATTTGAATAAAAACACAAAATCCCCAAAACCCAAAATGAATCAAAAATTCAACTGAACCTTTCAAAAGTGAATTTAAGCTGCACAGAAAAGTGAAACGTCAGAGCAGGAAGAAGCTGCTGCCGGAGCATCAGAGCTGATGAAGAAAAGGAAACAGTGTCATTTTCTTTTAGGCCAAGCAAGAACGAAAAGTGAAATCAAACGGAGGGTTTCTAGTTTTTCCCGTGGTTTGGATACAAACGGCCCATTTAGGGTGAGCTCAGCTTCATCGGCACCAGAACATCCATAACAATTTTCTCTTTCTGATAAAACACGTCCAGGTTGAAACACTAAATCCTGCCAAAATCTTCAAAAGGACAGGAATATTGTTATGAAACTCACATCAGAGTTTATCTCAAGAATTTGTTCTGAAAAAAGACAGAAGATGTTTTTCTCCACAGCTGAAGGAATAAAACATTTTATAAAAGATTATTTTAGAGTGCTAACTTGTTTTCAGGCCACCAGTCAGTGAGTGATGCTAACAGCTGCACAGAAACTTAAACGATAAAATTGGAGTTGCTCTGAAAATGTGCTCTTGCAGAAGATGACTGTGTAATTTCTTAATTTATGAACTCAACAGGGTCCCTGTTGCTCTGCAGCTTTTTCTGGCCACTTCTTCTGTTGAACAATGCAAATGAACACGGATATATAAATGTGCTTATTTTTACTGTTAGTTTTGTTTTGGGGTTGGAAAAGCTGCAGTGACATGGCAACAGGGAAGCAGTTGATTAAATTATAAATCTTTGGAAATTTGAGTCTTTAATGTTGAATGGCTTTGCTCTGATAGCTGCTAGCTTCACTCAGATACATAAACACTCAGCTTCATCATATCTAAAGCCACATTCTGAGGAACATTTGTAAGGTCAGAGGTCGGCGGAGCAGCATGGTGCTATAATTTATTTTCTCTAAATCTTCAGGCTGAATGAACGCAGACGTAGAAGTTCTTGTGCTCCTCCCAGTAGTGAAGGTCGTCCTCGAAGCTCCAGGCGCAGCCCAGGTCTTTGCTGGTTTTGATGGTGTGAACGACGCAGTCGCCCGGCAGCTTCTCGAACAGGAACTCGGCTACACCCACCACGGTGAGCTTCTTCTGGCTCTGGATCAGCTGCTGGACGTGGCTCTTATCCACGGGTTCAGGCGAGGAGCTGAACGACACCCAGACGTTCAGCTTCTCGTCCGACGTGGGAACCTGGAAGCGGCTCTTCCCGGTGGCGCACTGGTAGTCCTTCTTGTTGGTGAACAGGCCAGTGGGAGACCTGAAGACGCGCACAGACCAGCCCACCCAGTCGAACTTCTTCTTTAGCTTCTCGACGACAGCGTCGGCGAGCTGCTGGTTGGATAAGCCCTCCTGGTCTCTCACCAGGCGGCGGGAGTCCTGCTCGGCCTGCTTAGGGAAACTAACGATACAATCTTCGATGACGGCGTTCATTTTGGCTTGGACTTTGTTCATATTTTCTCCCCACTCTTTCAGAAGAGCCTCATCTTCGTCGTAGCCTTTCAGGGCAGCGTGCCCCAGTAGCGCAATGAGCCCCACGCAGAAGAGCTTCTTCAGTCGAGCACAAAAGTCCTCCATCGGTCGGCGGCTTTTCTCCTCGTAGTTCTGGATGATCTCGAGGATCGGCTCCCCGGAGAAAGTTTCTCCGGTCACAGCGTTGTAGAGGATGTGCAGGTTCTTATCTCCACCGGTTTTGGCGAAATGTTCCAGGAAAAGCTTCTTCTTCACCTCTCTGAACTTCGGCTTGGCGTTGAGGATGTCCATGTACTTCCTGAACTGATTGGTGATGTTTTCCTCCACAGAGAAGTAGGCAGCATCCACCCCGCTCTTCTTGATCTCGTCGTTGATCCGCTGCAGCTCCTCGGAGACCACCTCCAGGCGGTCTCGGACCTTCTGGAACTGCTCCTTCATGAAGGCCGCCTCTTTGCTCTCCACGTTGTCCAGAGCCAGCTTGACGATGGGAGCGGCGATGGAAAACACGGGGAACAGGTCTCCGGCGATGCTGGCCACCACTTCGGCTCCCTGTTCGAACACCTCCATCACCGTCTCCACCATGTCCTTCTTCTCCGCCACAAGCTTCTGCAACGGATTCGCCATCGTTGGCTGACAGAACGAAAACACAAAATTACTCTTTTGGAAGAGAAATTATGAGAACTCTGCAAAAACACAAAATAAAGTACTTTTGGTCTAGTTTCTATTACCAATATTTTAGCACCATTTAAATATCTTATTATGACAAAATCAATCATGATATATGATAAACGATGCACTTATTACAATGTCAATGTAACTAGTGACTTTTCATTAATATCAAGGAATTAATAACTTAAATGCCTATGTCTTGCTGAAAAGTCACTTATAAGTTAGTTTCATCTTGTTTCAAGTGTACTAAGATATTTGCAGTACAAACTCGACCTAAATCACTTGGTAATATTTTTGTTTTTGCAGTGTAATGATTGTTTCTGGTTCTGTAAAAACACTTACGGCTCTGTAAACGTCTTCAAGCTGCAGCCGGCTCTCCTCGGTCTTCTAGAAAAGCTGCAGAAGCTGATAAGAGAGAGAAAGAGCTGAGTGAGCTTCGGTTTTAGCTGCTGGTCGCACCCATAGAGGAATGAGTCAATAATGATGTAACGCCGGTACGGGCTGGACTGGTTTCATCTCATGCTAATGGTCTCCACAATTACTGGAGGAACTGGCCATAAAAGCTCAACTTTCAGCAAGAATCCAGGAGTTTTTCGAAGGAATGCCATGATAACATCAATCTGCTCTGCTGGCGGCTTTCAGGAACTCATTCTAGCAAAACATTCAGTGTGAAAGTAGAAGATTTAGTTCAGGTTTGAAAAACATCCGATCATGTTTATCCGAACTGACTTTGATGCATTTCTAATTGATTTCAGTTTAAAACCTTTAAACATTCCACCCAAGAGGAGAGAAAATGATTTTGGGCATAATTTGGTATTTGCAGGCATTTGGAACAAAAACATTCATTTCCAGTAACTAAAGTTATTTCTGAGTTGGAACTAAACTTTAAGTGCAATTCAGGTACAATGCACATGTACTTTCACAAAGTCAGAGCTCTAGATTTTAATCTAAACCTATTTTTATGAACATGCTTTGCTTCTGTTTCACGTTATTCCACTTCAGCTGAAGTCGACTGAAGATGGAAAATCCAGGAAAAAAAGTGTCCCAGATGCCAGAAATCAGATTAAAAAATGCCCACTAGAGCAGCCGGACGTGTTCAGACATGTTCCTCTGCAAACCTGGAAACTTTGGAGGGAATCAAATTATGTCCTGCAAAAACAGCAAAACTTACCAAGTTTTTCAGTCTGGGTTCTAGAGCACATGTTTACGAACACTTGAGAAAACTAACTTTACAGCAAGATATATGAGCTTTTTTCAGGTAAATAATTCACTAATGTTAACAAAAAACTACTAATAAAAAGCAAAATAAATTGCCAGTAGAACAAGACATTTTAATTCAGAGTATGGGGAAAATATATTCTAACGACAGATCATGACACTTATAATTAGTACGTTCTCTACAACAATTGCATTAAAAATTAGACCAAAAAAAATTGTTAAATTTGGTGTTTTTGCAGTAAGGGGCACAAATGAGTTTCTGTCTAAAGTTCCTGCAGCTGGCAGGTGTGTTTTATGTCAGGTGTGTTTTATGTCAGGTGTGTTTTATGTCAGGTGTGTTTTATTTGCATTGTGTTGCTCCCATTCTGGCTGATGGAGAAGCTGCAGCTTTTACCCCCTCCTCTCGTCCTCCTCAGTCAATATCAGAGCAGTGAGCGTGGGACGTGATTAAGTAGAAGAGGTTAAACTTGCTGGACCAGCCGCTGCATTTTCCACTGAAACTCAGCAAGTAACCACAGCAACGAGACAATGGGAAATAAACTGTCAGCTGGTTTGCGTCTCCCTGCCTCTGCTGACGTCGGTTTGCTCCCGGGGGTTTATCTCGGCGGCTGCGGGCGGCAGATAGCGCCCGTTCCCGGCCCGATCCATCAAACAGCGCAGAACTGCAGAAACATTTAAACTCACAGCCTTCCCACTTTTCTTTGCATTAAAGCTGCAGGACTTTAATAAAAATAAAATGTGATTTTTACATACAGTGTAACCATGTGGTAACAGTTTAATATGAGACAGATAATCTATGAAACAACCAACCAGACTGTTGCCAATCACACATGTGAACATGCTGCTGAATGTGCTAATGGCAGAGAAACAACTTCCCATTCCAGGATTACTGTTTATTGTTGGCTATGCTAACTAGCCTTAGCATTCATGACACATTGCTATGGGGAAGAAGCTGTAGCTAGCAGAGCGAAAAGGGAGGAGAGGACGGGGCTTTTCAGCAGCAGGTACACAAGCTTGATTGACAGCACTGAGACCCACATCCTGGCTCTGATTGGTTGTTTCTAGTTAGCGCTGGGAAAAGGCAGAAGAGCTTTTCACAGACTGCCTGTCTCATAACACACTGTCACAACATAGCAACGATTTCTACCAATATGTAAGAAATATTTATATTTATGAAATCTACATCCTGATTCTCACTGATGAGACCAAAATATAAATGTTTCCAGTCTGACTGGAGTTCTGCAATGAATACTAGAGCATCCCAAACCTTACAACCTTTCATTTTTGTAAAAAAAAAAAAAAAAAAAAAACACAATTGTGGGTAATTTTTCTTTAATTTCATAATTAATCACTACTTTGTGTTTGCCTTTGTACCAAAATCTTAATGAAATACCCTGAAGTTTGTGATGCTGAGTGGAAGCATCTAAGGATAACTTTTTCATTAAAGTGTGGCCAAAAGTTTGAACATTAATTTTAAAATACTATCTTTGAAAAGTTTTCTGCAAACATTAAAGTGCAAAGTGAGGGCTGCACATTCCTGCAAAAGGAGGCAGAAGCTTTTCAGTCCCTGAATCTGATTAATAATCTCCATCCTCGCTGCTCAGCGTCTCACTTCCACACAGAAGTGCTTCAAATAAATCACATTTTCAGAAACAGGAGCAGCAGATTCTCACAGAACAGGGCTCATATTTTATCCTGATTTATGAAGAAAAAATGTGATATTCACTGCAAAAACAAAATATTACCAAGACCTTTGTCTAATTTCCAGTGGAAATAACACTTGAAATTAGACAAAACTAACATAAAATGAGCATTTCAGCAAACTATAACAGTTTGTTTAAAGCCAATAACTGCTGAATGCAGATTTAATTCACTTAAAACAAAAAAAATTAAACAGTGGAACTGGTGCTTTTTGCATAAATATTCAATAATTATTGTCTTAAAATGAGATTATTTATCTTTCTTAGAGGTTATTTTTAATTAGTTGTGTCTTATTTCAAGTGCACTAAGATATATGCAATAAACTAGACAAATATTGCAATTTCTAATAAAATGTATGTTGTATTATTGTTTTTATCTGTTTTTAGCTGCGATAAAAGTTTTTATTTCAGACAGAGTGTCTATTAGAGATGAATTTCTTAGGTATTTATCCCACTGATTCCTTACATTTTTCTGTAAAAGCAGCACTGATCCCCATCAAACAACCTGAGGACAATAACTCAAGAACAAAATAAAAAACACTCAATATAAACACAAACATTAAGTTATTCTTTGCATTTGCACTTCTAAATGGGTAACAAAAACACTATATGTATTTTCAAACAGCTCATAATGGTTTTATGATCACAGAATTAGATGCATAGCAGAACAAAAGACATTTAAGCCTATAAACAAACTACATGGTTTGATCTCCAGACTACATGGCATTTATTTCAGTTTTTTGGATACATGGTAAACTGTGACAGGCTTTTATCTGCTGTTTATTTAAGTAAAAAATACTAAACTCATAGAAACATATTTAAAGAACTGAAAAACAGTCCGAGGAGAAACTGAGCAGCATCACAACATTTAGAGAAAATAAAAGACAGAAAACTCATTTCTTTCGACATAAACAGAGAATCTGTTTGTTGATGGAAGCAGCATCGCCTGATGAGACGCATGAACATATTTCTGATAGCATGAGAAGCAGGACCCGGCTGGGTTTCATTCTGTCAGTGCCAGTTTGCCCAGTTCACCGCCCAGTCTGACCACTGCGGCGGAAATCCCTGTTAATGCGCCTCTTAATGTAAAACGTATCGATCAGTCCGCGCTGCAGGCCCTCTAATCGGATCATTTTACAGCACCAGGCCGCAGAGAAACAAACAAACAGCGCATGTTAGCAGATCTGCGGCGAGTTTCTGCGGCGAGTTTCTGCGCAGCGCAACGAGGGCAGAAAAAAAGTTCCTGCATTCACTTCCTGGAAAAACTGACTGGCCGAAAACTTTTCGATCTGGATCAAAACGGGAAACATTCAGCAGGTTCTGTCCTTCACTCATCGGACTGCCACAGACTGCGGCGTTTCCATGGGATATGCGGTTAAAACCAACGAAATGCGCCGAAACCAGGAGAAAATATAAAAAAATAACAACAAACTGGAACGAATCAGACCGATCAGACTTTAACCCAACAGAACCATCGAAGCCTTTTCTGTTTACTGTGAAGGATTTGGACCAGAAACAGACTCACCTCGTAAAGTTTGCGGAAGAAATCTAAACTCCAGCCTGTTTGGCTTCCTGTTGGTCACGTGGCTCTCATGTTACAGGGAAGAGGCACACCCTGCCACACTGACAGCCAGGCAGCGCAAACAGCCTGCTGCGCAAATCAGGCAGCAACAGCATGCTGCGCAAACCAGGCAGCGCAAACCAGGGTGCTGCTCCTCAACTGAGCTCAGAAAATGGCCCCTTCACTGCGAAGGCCCAAAATTAAGGAGAAAATGACTTTTAATCCTGTTTTTAATGAAGCTTAGACCCCAAGAATGGGATTAAATCTCAGATTAATGATGACCAGATGACAATGACTGCCTTATTCTGCTGTTTATTACAAATTAAAGCAAATGATACACATAATGATGATTGTACTTGGTTGGTCCAGCTTTAATATATTGCACCAAAAGCATCATTTATGTATATATCATTGACAAACATAAAAAAAGATAATTTCTTCACATTCTGCAGACTCTGTACTATAATAATATGATAAAACATCTTAATTATCAGACTAACGGCTCACCTGTTCTGCAGCTTTTAACCAGAAGACAAACAGTTTATTTGATCTCCTGTAAAGGTGAAATTTTGAATTATTTTAATGTTCATTCTAAATACAAACCAGGAGCTTTGGAGGTGGATTTTATTTTCACACAAAGTCTGAGTCTCGTTGAAAACGAGACTCAGACTGGACGGACCAGAACATCAGAGCTTATGAATACAATAAGTTGTGGTTTTGAAGCTGCTGATCCCACCTGGGAAAATACCAAACTGGTTTGTTGGCTTCAGTTTTGTCTGCATTTTCAGGTTTAAAGTTGATTTTTTACAAAACTGCCACATGAGATAAATTGCAAATTTTATTCAGAGCCAAACTGTTTCTTTTCTCCTGGGCCGTAGCAGCAGGGATGCATCTACAAGCTTTGGACTTACAGACCAAATGAATCCAGAAAGAGCTGAACAGAAACTGCCTCCTTCTGATGAAAGAATCTCAACACAGTTCTGCTGATAATTAAAACATTTTGACAACCTTTAATCGTGTGTTGTGCTCCACATGTTGTTTCAAACTCTTGACATCAATGAATTAACACCATAAATCAACCACAGGTTTGTTGTAGCTTTGTCCAAAGGTGGGTCTGAATGAAAGGTGAAATATCTGCTAGATATCAAGCTTTCCTGCTTAATGTTGACTCAAATGACATGAATGCAGGAAGCTGACGCTGAACTTTTTGATGAAAACCATAATTTGTATAAGAGGAAACATTGAGAAGAAGTAGGACATTCTGAGAGTTAAGGAATCACAAAGCCGTCCCCAAAGCAGATTATACACCACAAGATACAGATCCACATCGACTAGGTGTCCTAAAGTCTCTCCTCTTCCTTGGCTCTACTCTGGGTGAATGCACAGATAGGCCCGCTTGTGTTTCCCGTAGTAGTAGCAGTCCTCCCTGAAGTTGTTGGTCTCCACCACGGCCTTGTAGTGGCTCACGGCGTGGACCAGGCAGTTGGGGAAGGTCTTGTTCAAAGACAACGCCACCGCCATCATGTTGCCCTTCAGCTTCTGCTGCTCGATCTGCTCCTGGATCTGACTCTTGTTGATGGGCTGCGGGTCGACGCAGAACGACACCACCACCTTGATCTTGTTCTTGGTCAGAATGTCAAACCAGTTGGCTCCGCCGCTGCCGTGGTACTTCTTTCCCGCCAGCCAGTTGAAGAAGAAAATGCGCTCCCGGTCGCCGAAGGCCCGGATGGACCAGCTCACCCAGTCGTACTTTTTAACCAGCGACTCCAGGAGAGATTTGGCGAACTCGGGGTCAACGGTGCCGGGGTTGTCCTGGAGCTGGTGCTCCATGTCCGTCTTGGCCTGCGTGGCGAAGTTCTCGGTGCAGTCGTCCACGGCCGCTTTCATGCGTTTCTCCACGTCCTCCATTCGGTCTTGCCACTTCTTGACCATCTCCTCGCCGACGATTCCCTCCTTGAGCGCAGCATGGCCCATGACGGCGATGATGCCAACCACAAACAGCTTCTTCAGCCGAGCGCAGAAATCCTCGACCGCCCTCCTGCTGCGCTGCTCGGTGGCGAGCACCGTGTCCAGCATGGGGTCTCCCGACGTGGTCTCACCTTTGACGGCGTTGTAGAGGGCGTCCAAGTTCAGGTCGCTGTCCGTGTTCTCGTAATGGTTCAGGAACTTCTCCTTCTTCTTCTCCCTGAACTTCGGCTTGGCGTTGACAAAGTCCTGAAACTTTTCGTACTGACTGATAATCTGCGCTTCCCGGTCAAAGTTCTGCTTGTTCATGGACGTCTTCTGCAGCTCCAGGGCCAGTTTGTCGATCTCGTCTTGGATGCCCTCCAGTTTTGAGTTGACTTTTTCAAACTGCTGCGTCAGGTAGCGGGCTTCCTTGCTGTCCGGGTTGCTGAGGAGTTCGGCGGAGGCCACGAAAACGGCCTCCAGGATGGGGTGAAGCTGGCCCACGGTGGCGGCCAGCACCTCGGAGGCTTGGCCCATGATCTCCACGCCCTTCTCGATCTTGTCCCTGTTTTCAACGAGCCAGTCTGCCACACTATTCATCTCTAAGTTTGTCACAGTAACTGCAACTAATCAGAAATCCAGAGAGTTTGCTGGTGCCTGGAAGGAGAGAAAACATGTAAAAACCCTTGTAAAGTTCATTGTAGTGCGAGTTATTTAAACCTACTTTTAAACTTGCAGTAAGAAGCTTTTATAAAATATATATATTTCAATATACATTTGTTTTTGTCACCATTTTGTGACAGATAATCTGTTAAAAGATCGATCTTTTCCACTTTCTCCTTTGAAGAAATGCACCGAAAACAACTAATCAGAGCCTGGAGGTGGGGCTTAGCGCTGTCAATCATTCTCATGTATGCGCTGTTCAATTTGCTAACGGTGGAGAAACAACTTACAGGAAATGGCTGAGCTCACTAGCCTTAGCATTCATGACTGGTTGCTGTAGCTGCAGCGTAGCGGAGAGCAGCGCCACACAAGGGGTGATTGACAGCGCTAGTTAGCTCCGGCAGAAGGCATACCAAACTGTCATGCCATGGCAACATTTTCGATAAATATGTAAAAAATGTTTGATAAAGTTACAAACTGCAGCTAAGTAAACAAACAGGTGATGCTAAGCCGTTTTTTTCCTAGAGGACATTTTCCTGACAAACAAAAGGCTGAATCATGTCAGCACATGTTGGCATCCAGTTTCATGCCGCGCCCTCACAACCACTCTTAATGACAGGGACTTCTCAGGCCTCCACGGTTTTGACAAACATCACAAAAAGAACAAATAAGGCTCAAACGGTTCACTTCTGCACAGAAACAGAACAAAAATCAACCATGACGTGTGTACAGATGGATTATGATGTGAACTGTTGCACAACGTAGCAGTGCTGGTTCTTTGGGGACGTTACTTTACTGCCCCAACAGCCAAGACCCAAAGCAAACACAGATGTTCAGAGCCGGGAAAAATCAGGGTTTATATCAGTAAAATCATTTGTTTTTCGATGTCAAATACTCTGGAGAGATGAGCTCAATCATTTCAGGAAACAGGCACACCCAAATGTCTCCCGCTGCACTTGTTCATGACTTTAACCACCCTTCAGCTTAATTAGCACCAGCTCATCTGAACGCCTCTCAGTCCTAACATGGAGGAAAGTCCAGATGTGTTTGTAGCAACAGATCACAGCAGATTATGACAGCAGATCATTGGTGTCTTTTTCAGCCTTTTCTAACACACTGCTAATTAGATTCACATTATTCAGTCACATGTCCTTTTACAAACATCCACATGTGAGCCAGCAAGTGAGAATAAAAACAATTAAAGCCAACTGTAAAAATGTAAAGTGACGCAAAACGCTCCAATTCTTTTCCAAGGAGACGAGAAAAGATGCGTAATGTGTGATTGTGTTGTTTAATAAGGTCAAATTTAGGAAAAGGTTTTGTTTGCTAAGCTTTTCTAATGAAAAGGGAAAAAAGGCGAGTCCGTCTGAGGTTTTGATCAAACACTGGTCAGGTTATCCGCTTTACAGAGACCACAGAAGTGTTTCAGAAAACCACAGCAGAGAACGTCACTTCACCGAAACATCATTTTAAATTTACCTTTTAAAAAGAACAAAATCTGCTGCAGAAATTCTGGTTTGTTTCACCAGTTTTGTGCTTTTCTCTATTTTATAGAGAAAAGCACAAATTGCAAATAATTGAATAAAATATTAAATTATTTATTTTCTCTTCCTCTCCGTGTTTCTTTCTCTCTTTCTTTCTCTTTCTTTCTTTCTTTCTTTCTTTCTTTCTTTCTTTCTTTCTTTCT